AGTGTGCAGATCCTGCGACGGACGGCCGAGAAGCGCCAGAGCGAGTGGAGGATGGCTGACTGAGCAGACCACTGGACCTCTGATGGCGGGTTCTCCTGCCAGCAGATCTGACGAACAGTACAGACAACGTGGCACTAGCTTTCCCGTGAAGGCACCTCCAGGCAAACACTAGTAGTAGCTTGCGCTTGCCGAGTTCGCCTATCCGGTGCAAGCCGTGCTGCACCAGTAGGAGATGCACGGTTGTCTAGGTTGGATGGCAGTCGATAGTTGATAATATTTGGTGTACATTTGCAGAATGATTCATACTCATAGACCCTTTTCTCAGTTTCTCATTAAAAAAAATCCGTTTGCGGGTTTTACGCCTCCCCACTTTGTTGGCCTACTATACTTGATGTCATAGGCACCTCAAAATTCACTTCCTCATCTTGTACTGTCGCAGATATACGAATCTCAAAATTGTTTCATCAAACTTCAACAAAACCTATAATAGTGAAGAAAAAACATCTTTCAAGTACCATGCCCGGCGCCCGCATGGTGCTAAACACTTCACTGTAGCCTGGACTGGCAAAAATATGGAACGCTTCACGAATTTGCGTGTCATCCTTGCGCAGGGGCCATGCTAATCTTCTCTGTATCGTTCCAATTTTAGTATATGTAACACCGAAGTGATACAATATTATTATCATCGGGAGTGGCTTATATACTGCCTACGCCTTTGCAAGTGGGTATGATCATGAAACGCGTTACGGACAATACGAATGGACACTATAATTATTATAACCTAGGAATTTAGCGAATGCATGATCTGCGAACAAGGAAGATTTCCTTGGCTTGTGGTGTCTCGCGTGGTGCCCGCCTACTGCGTCGTCATGGCAACTGCCAGTGTAAACCAATCACAGGTCAGAATGTTTTAAAAGTTGCTGTTGACTTAGGGCATGAATGGTGTATATTTTGTAGACAGCATCCACGATTCTTGGTAGCAGCCTACCCAAAAATTTCATATGTCATTCAATTGACCGTAACTTTGGTGTCTCTCCATGAATTTGAGTGAATTTTTCACCACACACTCCTGCCACTATGCTGGCCCTCTGGACATGACTTACAAGTGTAGTATCCCTGCCCGACCAATACGGAAGCAGTACGGAACTAATACGGAGCTTTGCCTGATGTATATTTAGTGTATCTCCGTATGTAAGCGTACGGCGTCTGCTGCATAAAAGCGGCTGCGCATTTCTGCTTTGATGAAGAGAAGATTAGATTAGATTGGATAGCAATGAAAGCTAACTCGAAGAATAAGGATTCAGCCTCTAGGTGAGCACCGGAGAGAAAGTCAGTTATTTTGCCGCTTCTTCTTTCACGAACGATTATATCTCAGGTGTGTACCTGAAAGTAGAATAAAAGTAATTATTGTTGATTTCACCGCGCCTACCACTCGGCTACCTATTACATTGGTGGCAGCGGTGTGTTTTAGAACAACGTGATGCGACCCCAGACTACCATGGCGATTCTAAGCGACCTGCTACCTTCATGAATACTACCGGTGGTGATGGCGAAGCTGATGAGGACGACAACAGGCAGGCTGCTGCCCAAGACAAGGAGGGTATTCCCCAAGACCAGCAGCGTTTGATTTTCGCCGGCACACAGTCGGAAGCAGGAGCCCACTCTTCACTTGGTACTTCGCCTCCGTGGTGGGATGCAGATTTTCGTCAACACTCTTCCTGGCTAGACCATCACTCTTTACGTCGCGCAAAGCGATGCTATCGACAATGTGAAGACCACGATTCAAGACGAGGAGGGAGGTCATTTGTCTGACGCCGAGCTAACCGCTCTGAGTGACCGGCTCAACCAAGATGAAGATAAAACCTGGCTCGCCCTCCGCCATAGCTCCAGCCGCCGCCGTGGTTACTAACGCTGATTCTAGGTATGGCATTTTCTTTCCTCTCTTCCTTCAGTCTCCCTGTTCTTTTCAGTCTTCCTTTATGCGAGTGTGTGAATCCAGTTTAGTTTGGTAGGCGTCTGATCATGGTGAGCCACGGCTTACCCAGCTAACGTGGGACAATGTGTGTGACAACGCCCCTTATAGTTATAGTGTATTCAGTTCGGTTTTTGAACTGCGATGTTCCTGGCGGGTTGTGCCAGCGTTGTGCAGCAAGAGTGCTGTAGTTTTTCAGGTCCTATTTGGAGGACATTTCTTTCCCCTTTTAACCCCGTGAGATCGTGTGAACCTGGTGTGCTTCTACTTTATCATTTGTTATCAGTTCATTTCTTCTGTCTTCTCTAAACGTTATCATTTCCGATATAATTTGCCATCTTCCGGTTGACGCTGTGTTCGTAACTCTTCACTAATTTTTTGAAAATCACGAGGGCGTGATTATCTGTAGGAAGGGAGGGTGTAGTAAGTTCTTGCGCCTCACTGACAGGCTTTTGAGGCTGGAAAAAATTCCGGCATAGTGCGACGGTGTAGGCCTCGACCAAATATGCTAAAAAAAGAGCATATTATGCTCGTCGCATATCAGGGAAAACGTCCATAATATGCCAAAGATTTAGCAAGATATGCAAAAAGATATGCCAATATATTCCAAAATATGCTCGACATAAGCAGGAAGTGTAGATCATTTCAGTAAAATTACAACCTTGGAATAGTCAATGGCTTCACGGCTATCATGCTTGTGGTGCAAATCAAAACACATGCGGAATTGTATGGATGGGGTGTGTCCCCAGCAACAGTAGCGATAGTGTTCATCCATGGGGAAATGTAGCAAACGCCTCAACCATTCCCGGCAAATTTATCCATAAAAGGCATTTCTGAACGCATTTTGTTCATAATATGAATGTTTTGTCCTCATTTTCTTCAGAATATTTGAATTATATGCTGGCTTCATTCCAATATTCCCTTTGTCGCTCAATATGCCATATATGAACTGTCTCACAAAATATACTGAAATATGCGCAAGCATATTTGGTCGAGGCCTACCACGGTGTGCGAGACACCCAGGAGCCAACAAAATGCATTCACAAGTTTTTTCACATTTTCTTGCCCATTCTGTCCGTGCGCGGGACCCAAACCTAAAAAAAGGTCCAGAAGCAGCCATGGGTGGTGGGATAGGGCCCCTCAACGTGGCCCTGGAATCTGTCACTACAGCACAAGTGGGCGTTCTCTCACAGACTCCCACAGACCGAAGTCAATTTTTGATTTTTTGAAGGTTTAGGGCGTGCTACGAGATCGTACCTTTGATACAACATCCAGTGCTGGTATGGGACCTCCACAGCAAGCCATTTCCACAGCGCTGCAAACCAAATCCAGGATACCCTCAAAACTCGGCAAAGACTACCACTCACGTTCCACTACTGCCTAGTACTGACTCCTACCTGACTTCTTGACACGACTCAAACTTGCCAAAGTCACTAAATCAACGTCAACTACAATCATCAAGCCACATATCTGCAACGTCACGAGGGTGCTGGCAAAAGTCCTGCTACGGCGGTGGGCTTCGCCCGCCGCCGTGCAGCCCAGTACGTGGCTAAAGCGGGATTCACAGAAGCTTTTTTGCGATGCGACACGCGATGCGACGCGATCTGCGATGGATGCGTGCGATGCGAACTCACGAAATACCATTCACAGAAGAAGTCAGCGATGCGACAAAGTTTTGCTGATTTGGGTACGTCACCATGATATTCGCGCGGTTTGACACAACTTGTAAAAATTTATAGGCAACTCTTGCACCTTTGTACAACTTTGCTGTAGAAAAGGTCAAAATCGTACACCAAATCGCTTGTAGCATCGCATCGCATCGCAAAAGTTGAGCCAAGCTCAACTTCTGCGATGGCCTGCGATGGCCCAGTTGCGGCAGTTGCGTGGGGTGCGACATGGCTGCGATTTGGGGTTTTCCCCGTTTCGCGTCTGTCGCATCGCAAAAAAGCTTATGTGAATCCCGCTTAAAACACTTGATTTTTTTGGACTTTTTTTGGACTTGGAGCAAAATTCTGCGCACATTCGCGTGTTTCCAAGAGCGCAGCGTGGAGAGGTGGACGGTTAAGATTTATCGTCACTGTGAATGTAAAAACTCCCTAAAATTTTTGGCTATAACATTGATTGTTTTGGTTTCCTAATTTAGTGACGACTTTCAACTGATAAGTGTCACGACATTTCTCGCTACACATATCCTGGCACACACTGAGACATAGACAGCATTAGCAACAACACACAATGTTTTTGCCAGCTAGCTGGCCTCTGCGTACACCACAGACACACCCACACACCACAGAAAGATACAGATCACAGTAGTAGTGTGGTCTTTGTTCACTCACGGTGGAAGATGGAAGAAGAGCTTAGCATTGTGTATACATGAGCAAGAAGAAGGGCATGCCACCTCACACATATACATGATTGTATACATGTACACGTATGTACCAGACCAACATGATGCAAAAAGTGAACCGCTGTGGTGAATGGGGCCGCCGGATAATTAACCAGCCCGAAGCTGGCGGAAAAAACCTCAGGACCCCGGCGGAGGCACAACCCTGAGGAAAAACCGGTTATTTATTATTATTATTATTTATTCTTCTTTTACTAGGGAATTCCCAACAGGCGTCAGCGCCTTTTTACAGGGAACGCTAGGTATAATTTGATGGATGAGCGAAATTCAGCTGGTGAACTAGACATGCGGCAAGCCGGTGGAAGTGTATTCCACCTGGCAGCGCCCAAATAAGAAATTGCACTAAAGCCATATCGGGTGTTAGCGGGGGGCAGAACAAGAGCAGCAGAGACTTGGCCACGGGTGGTGGCTGCAGTGCGAGCACCATGGGCGCGCAAGGTAAAGCGGTCTCGCAGAAGAGGACTAGCAAGTCCATTCAGGCAGCGGTAAACAAACACATAGGTTTTGAAGTTGAGGCGTTTCTCAAGGGCGTACAAGTTAGTATGACTGTATAGAAGAGTGGTGGGAGTCATTCTATCCAACGAAAATATTCTCTTTAATGCTACGCGGCTGGCAGTAACAGTCGATGCGCCAGAGCGAAAAAAAGCCCTTTTTTATTATCCCGGTCAGCTCATTTTGTACAGAGGTGAAGATGACGATTCCGTGAAGAAGTAATGGCTGACGTTGTCGAACATTCAGACCCACTGGAGGCGTTTCACAGCCTGGAGCCCGCCGATAAGGAATTCGATGTGACTTGAGTAAGTACTAAAGTAATCCGTACTATTTTTGGGGCCAGCTATTGAGCCATTGGGAAGTTTCGTGTCGTCGTTTTCTTACAGTACAGTCGTAGAAATTTCCTCCCTTCTTTGGTATTCAGCCAGTAATGGACTCCATCAAATCTTACACAATATCCGAGATAGCAGAAAGATAGTCCCAACCAACCTGTGTAAAGATCTGGTCATGTCTATGTCCAGACCTACTGCTAACTCAAATGGCACGAAATGAAAGAATTTTTTTGTGATACGTGTAAAATCCACGAAAGTGACATTTCATCACACCTAAGTTTCAAACTATCCCAGGTTACAATAGTTTCTCGCCCATATAGCAGCAGATGGATTGTGTTCCCGGTATATCACCATTTCCAGTGGAAGTAGTGTGTTCCACGTCTATCCATGCTCATTGAAACTCAGGCAGATGTGTATATTTGTGTATTTCAGGTCAAAATTCGTAGTGCATTCCATGTTTCTAGCATATATGCCATAATTCCAGTAAACGATAACACGCACGCATCACCTGTGTGCACATTGACTCAATCTTGGTCCAATTCGTTGCTGGTTTCTTGCTTTTCAGTCTCCTCAAATGAAACAACCTTTTGCTTACTGGAACTGTCGCATTCTTCCCTCGCGGAGGTGTTGTTGAACAGAAAGTGTGGCATTTTAGCCCTGGCCTGCATAACAGATTTGCCTTTTGCACTCGCATTGTATGATCCTGCAGTGGACTTGCATCCACAGCCTTTTGTGAGGCCTGTGACAGGCTGTCTGACTGCTGCAAGATGTTTGTCAGAGCCCCACACCATGACTAGGTCATTGGTTCTTCACAATCCCTACCTTGAAGAGGTGGGTAGTTGATAGTAGATTTTGTTGCTTAAATTAAGCGATAATCAGAGACAACAATTATTCCAGTGTAGCTCAATTCCACTTGTAAGTTTTACGGCACCGCCATCCATGGACTCTTGGTACTACTCCATACTGAAGTTTCACTGTGTGTGGAACCCGCCTGTCTGTGTTAGTGTTTTGCTTTGACGTCGCTTCGTCTCAGTTTCTTCCTCAGTGCTTGTTGTGATTGGCATGTGGCGGGCAAATGGCCATGGAACTTCAACTGTGGTACTTGCATCAATTGGGCTAGTGTGACCAGTGGATGGTAGTTTATTTACATGTTGGACTGGTGTGCCACGTAGCCTTCTGCTGGCATCCTGGCACTACATTTGTTGCCAGGGTACCTCTTTGTCGATTTTGTCCACAGACACCACGCTCACACTCGGCATGTATACATGGAGCTGCAGGTCTTGAATGCCCTTCCCTTTTGCTATGTTCACCATTGTCATTCTGTATGTATTGTAGGTATTATGGCCAGCCGTTACTCCCCGTCGAGAAAAGATCCCTGCAAGCGTACTTGACTGGCTGTATGCGTCTAATACGTCTGCAAGCACCAACTGAAGTGGGTGAGTGCGAACTGGATGACTTACTGTAATGTCGTGTATGAAAGCCTGGCCTGGCGTATTTCTGTAGAAGCCGGTGTGGTGGCTAGGCCTCTATTTACATTATGTTGCATTATGTTTGTAGTCAAACCAAACTTTTTATGGTTGCCGATGCAAAATCCACATTATTGTGCTAGTTGCATATCTTGAAACTCAGGCTTGTGTTCAGAACAGGCTTCTGCATAAGACAGGCTTTTATAGAAAGCAGTGGAGTTAGTGAAGGACTGTTCCTACTTCTTGTAGACACCACAGGTACTACAGGTATGTGTGTGAAGCTTCACTCCAGGGGAGAAAACGAGAGCGAGGTGGAATTGTGACCATCCAGTATTGTCCACCCTCATGACCATAGTTTGGGTTGGATAGTCCTGTCCCCAGGGAAAATCGCGGAAAAATCCCAGAGTTTGCGGTGTAACTTGCAGGTAAATATGGCATAATTTGCGGTGAATTTGCGGTAAGTATGCGGTGAAGATTATTGATATCAAGAGTACATAACCCCAAGAGTGTGCAACTGCCTGCACAACCTCTATGCTGTGCTGCGACGGCAGAACTTCACATCACGTGACATGGTTCAAAAGGTTATGCTGGCAAACAGTGCAAAGTGACCACAAGAGAGTTGTACCCAAAGCTGGGCTGCGTACAACCCAGTATCTATCATGCACTAGAGTGCACGGGTTCATCACGTGATGTGAAGTTCTGCCGTCGCAGACCCCATAGCTAGCTGGAGTTGCACACTCTTGGGGTTATGTACTCTTGTTGATATGCGGCAATTTTACCGGGGAGCCGGTCATGTGCCATGTGTATGCTAGGGAGCGCGCGCCCTACACGTAGACTCTCTACTTGACGTCAACGGCTCACAACGGTCAGCCGAACAGTGCACTGTGTGTACATGTAGCGCAACAAAAAAGTTCAAAAAACGCGGGAAAATCGCGGAAAACGCGGTCTTTTAAAAAATCGCAAAAAACGCGGCCGCGGAATCGCGATTTTCCCCGGGAACAGATACTCAGTAGTCTGACAAACAGACGATAAGTCCTTTATTCTTAGTTTCTCGGTACTCTCCTCCACTGTACATTGGCCTGCTCAGCTGTAGGTCAATTTGGTGGATAACTTTGACAGCTGTGTCCAAGGACTTGCCCTTTACTACATCGTGTTTTGGGGTTGCATTCGTCCTCCAGGGTTGTGTGTAGGCACCTGGACAGAGCCCGGTGCAGAGCTTGGGTGGTACCCAACTGGCTCACATGAGCATGATGCCACCTTTCTTAGCTTTGGGGTATGCAGTAGGAATGTGTGCCACTAGTCCCGCCTGCATCAGGGACAGTAGAGTTGGTAATGCTTGTAGCGGGAATGTTATGTGTCGGGTATTCGTCAAAGTAATACTATATTTATGCCATTTTAGCAAATAATGTTGCTCCATTGTGTAACAGTTTGTCTGCTACTTATTATACTCCGTCAAGCATTTCATCTTCTGCACGGTATTGTACTGCTTTGTCTGGTTTATTGCTGTCAGGTGCTGCACGTAATCATTACCCACAGCAGTGGTGTCGGTCAGTGGTGTAACTACCTTCCTCAACAATCACCAGCTGCTGGCTTGTGACAGTTTTGACGAAAATTAGTCGGTCTCTCTCATTCCGTTATCCCTTTGTCGACTCTGAGGAGATGCTCGACAACCACATAATTTGGTACTTCCCGTACAGCCTAGTATTTGCTTCCTACACCAGCCACAGTGCTTTTCTTCCCACATTCTTTTTTCCGCTGGACGGTTTGGGATTATCTTTTGTGTTACGTTCTTTCGTTTTCTGTTACATCCTTTTCCTGTTCTTGTGTGTTAACGTTTCAGTGGAATGGTGCAATGCATTTCCAACCAATGCAGTCATTCTCGTCTAAATTGGATTGAACTGTACAGGTTTCCAATGTGTATGGCATATTACTGATGTATTCTCAGTCATATTGAGGACACATGGGTGGGTAAACCGCTTACAGGGCGGTTCTCATCGGCAGCAGCAGGTACACTGGGACCCACGTGGAGATTGTGGGTGGTGTCCAACTAAAGCTTTCGTGCTTTGGCCTATGCCAAGGGCATGATACGTACCCTGTGCATGGAAAGACGACGAAAATCAGCAGCTTTGCAAATGCACCTCTACAGCCTGTTTCCGCAGTGACACACATTGTGGCTGTTTTTGATCCATTAGTACACTATGTTTGCTGCCGCAGACATGTGTCAGTATTGTCCGGTGCTACTGCTAACTCAAATGGCACGAAATGACAGGTTTCTCGTCGCTCGTCAATGGCTGAAGCCTTTCTTCTTACAAACCCGCCCGCCATGCGAACGGTTTAGCAAAACCACCACCCTCGCTCATGTAAACACTAGGGCACACGTATAGTATCAACGGAAAATGCACAACAATGCCTCTGAAAACTCTTCTTCTTGAGAAAATTGGCATTGACTGCCCGACTATCGATAAAAAATACGTCTCCAAAATGCAGCTGTTTGCATTTGAATTTTCCCGCGCTTTGGCATTTGGTTTGGATGCAGGCAGGCATAGTGGGATGGTCTAAGACCATGATTGAGAAACAGAGGGTGCCAGGTTCAAGTCCTGCTTGGAAGCGGAAGGATTTTTTCTAGCCGTGCTGCGACCCATAGTTAATTGGGAACTCGTGGCCTGGCACGAGGAAAACATGGATGCAGTGAATGGGATTTTCGGTCTTTGACCACTTGCTGGTGAGCTGATCTACTCACCTCCCACCGCTTTAGGAGCTGCATCTGCGCCTTGATCCTTGAAGGGTGGTGGCGTTCCTACGGATGCGGAAAACCCGGCTTCCAGCCGAGTCTCACGCGAACCGTGAATTTTTTTTTTTTTTTTTTTTGGCATTTGGGATAATAAAACTACCTCTAAACGTCGACTTTTCGCAAAACGGCGCATCGCCTGGTAAGAAGCTTGTCATATAGGGCGTGTGATAAGCAATGAATATATGCAGTGCTGCCAAACTCAAATGTGGACTGAATGATCGATAAATAGAAAAGTCGTTTGCCAAAAATGCTGATATTCTGCTTTGCATGGACAAATGCTCCGACCTTCCTATTGACATTTGCACATACTGCATCCACTTGGGTTGAGAAAGACAGATGTTCGTCAACCAGTATTCCTAAGTACCGAGCGTAAGCAGATGGGACTATGGAAGTGCCCCGGCAGTTGACTGCGGTGCCAGGTGGCAGCTCCGTGCCCGGTCGCCTGAGCAGGACAAACTGAGTCTTGGACGGGTTTAACACCAGTCCCTTCTGATCTAGGTAGCGATCCAGAGCGGCAAGGTCAGCACTCAGCTGGGTTGTGATGATCTGGATGGACTTGTGCCTGATATAGAGTGTGATATCATCGGCATAAAGTTGATTTAATGCATGTTGGAAGCACTGTGGTGCATCACGGGTGTAAATGCAAAATAGCAATGGGCCGAGCACGGAGCCTTGTGGGACGCCTCTTGTGCAAGGGCGGGCCCCACTTAGCTGTTGTCCTACTCTTACTCGCTGGACGCGTCTGGTCAGGTAGCTTGCAAACCAAGCAAGTTAGAATAACCCCATAAGATAAATGAACAAAACGTAGCCTGCAGGACCTATCCAGAAAGGAGAATAAAGGGGAGGGCGGGTGGGAAACTACAACGAAAAGAGAAAGACCACGATGAAGAGAAACGTTTGAGAACATGATTCTACCATAATATCACTTTAATGTTCAGCGATGGAGCTTGCAATCACATTTTGAGCAAAGCCAAGGTGTTCATTGATCTCATTGACCACTTGGTCCATGTTCACACGTTCAGCTGCTTTGTGTCGTATCAAATAAAAAATCAGCTTGTTCGCAAAGTGGGGCAGGCTAGAAGTAGACAAGCCTATGAATTTGAGAGGCTCAATATATGAACGGCTCTTCATAAGGCCATTCACCAATATGAAATCCATGTACAATTCGTCATGCGGTACAGCTTCACTCCATAATGAGTGGAAGCTTCGCCGAGTCATTACTTCTAGAATGCACAGTCCAAACCTCCAGGAGTCTGCTGATGGATTTACCATCACCCAATCGTGTCCTGTGTGGGCTAGGTCCAGGCGTGGGAAGAGTTCAGGCGGACTATATGCAGGAGTATCATCCATATGGCACCTATTGATGAACTCGCCTGCAAATTTAGCAGAGCCTAGGTCGATCAACTTCGCGATCCTTGTGCCGTCGGCTCGCATGCTAACGCAGAAGTTTGAAGGCTTTACGTCAGAATGCATAATACCTAGAGAGTTGAGGAATTGAAGACCTTGAGCAGCATCCCGCAGTAAACCGAGTCGCTCATTATCATGCAGCAGAGTGCTGGGCATCTGCGCTAGTGAGCCTTCTGGAAAATATTCAAGTTCAAAACCATGGTAGCTATTGAACATATACCAATAAGGCTTGCAGGTTGCAATGAACCGATCTCGTTTGTTCTGTCGAATTTCTTCCTCGCATCTTTGTACATACTGGGTAATCCGCAGTTCTTTATACAACAATTTCCTTCTGTACCTCTCTCCAACACCAGGATAAATCTTGCGTAGTTTCAGTACCGTTGTAGTTCCGGCGCTTCCTGTTTCCACCTTGATGACACGTCTTCTTTCTGTAGCATAAATGCAGTAGCCTGGAACCTCCATTTCCTCCACATCATCAGTAGTTGCGATAGTAATAGTTGTGCCGAAGTGGCATATAGACTTCGCTCGTGCCAACTCATCCGCGTCTACAAAGTTCTTGCTAAACTTTGTGAAATATTCCTCGAAGAAGGACTCCTCCACTGTGCGCGGATCTTCCGTTGCCATTACTTCTACTGCTTGTATTCCTGCTGACATTGCCTGGTCGTTATTAACTCCTCAGAAATACTTTCCCTCCAACAGGAGCAGAAGGGAACAGCAGCACGTCACGTTTCAAACCCTATCTTCAAATCACGCTCGGGAGAGTTCGCAAAGGCTGCTGCGGCGTGACGGAATACTCAACAAGCGAAGAGAAAAACTCTGTCTCTCACCACTAACTCAAATGCAAAGCGAAGTGAAAGAGTTTTGTCTCGCTCGGTATTTATGCTACATCTTTGAAATGCTCCACCCTTCAGCGTGCAGTTGCAGCAACGGTGCAGACTAAAGGCAACGGTGCACACTTGCAGCCTCCACACCACGGTCGGCACGGAGGCAGGAGGAGTGACTGCCCACCTAACTGTGGACGCTAAGGACCTCACCCTAGTCATAACTGAGAATTATTATTTCTGGCCAAGGGCAAGGCCCCTGTACGCGAGGCCATGGCACAGCCAAGACTGGCTCCACAGCAGTCGAACGACACGTGCAGGCGAATATGCAGAGGACATGTGCCACATGGCATGAGGTCGTGGCCGAGGCAGGCCCAGAATGTTATGGCTTGAATGTTCGGTTAACGTAGGCGTTAACCGTTGTTAAAGGGAAACTGAACGCTAAAAATAAGTATGGCTTATCCGAAGGAGAATTGGGCACTGATTCCGATGAGCTATGTCTCGAGCCGATCAGAGAAGAGGAACCGTGTCAAATTTCATAAATAACACCTTCCATATTTGGAAATTGGGCTTGATGACGTGCGTACTGCTTAGCTGTCACCATGCTGTGCATGCTCACTTGCTCAGCAGTGTAATTGAATGGAAGAAACCAATTACTTTGGTGTTTTGCAGCTCTGTTTCGTTCCCTGACGGTAACCAAATCTAGATGTAGGAATCTGTTGAGCAGGAGAGTGACACATGTCTTCCCAAAGGCTGTCCAGGCTGCAGGGGTGATGAAGAAGACACGATCATCACCCCGAGATCGATTGTAGTGAATTGGAAAACTCATGGTGAATTTGCTTCCACTCCAAGGCAATGTCGAGGTATGAAGGGTGCTTGTACTGCCTTCCAAAGTGAAGAGGAGATGAACATGGCTTTGCATAGCTGTTGTTCTATGCCAACTTACCTACTCTTGCTGGTACCGTAGTGGCATATTGCAAATTTCGTGGACGAACAACTCTAGTCACTAGTGGCTAGTGAGCAACACTAACAGGTGAGATTTTTCAATTCGACAAAAAATGTTTTTGTTTGAGAACAGACAGTGGCAGTCATTAGACTCAGTAGGTGTCTCTCTGCTGCTTCTTTCCCTTCATCCGCGATTGGCCCATATGTTGTAGTCTTTTGGACGCTGAGTCGACTGGTTTTGGTCCGAAAGGGCTGCGATGCAGCGTTCCTCCTTTATTCCCAATCGAACATGGTGTAACGAGTGGTCACGTGCTCCTGCGTACACCAGTCAGCTGGTCACCGTGCCTGCAGGGTACAACTTACTAGCCTGTTTGACCTTTTTTGGGTGCAGTCCTGTCACTCGAGTTGAACTCGAGTTGAACCTTGGTGTGAAAGTTGTCGCCTGCTGGCGTGGTGACCAGGTGATTTGGGCACCCAGGAGCACGTGACCGCTTGTTCAACTATGTTCGATTGGGAATAAAGGAGGAACGCTGCATCGTAGCCTTTTCGGACCAAAACCAGTCGACTCAGCGTCCAAAAGACTACAACATATGGGCCAATCGCGGTCATCCGTGCTTTGATAAGAACGAAACGGCGCTTTTAGTGGCATTTTGCATACAAATCCCCATCTAGTAGGGCGCAGTCACCCAGTTTCGGTGGAAGTGCGCGAGTTCGATTGGGATTCAAGTAGGAAGGGAGCGTCTCAGCCTTCTCGGACCAAGA